AGACAATTGATTAGATAGCTAATGTTGGTTATTATTTTTCATAAGTGAATGTTAGTACGAATATTATAACTTGTAACAAATCTAGTTAATCATCCTATTCTTGCATACAACGCATTATATAGGAGTTTCCCTCATGCGGATGAGTTTCCTAATATATGTTCCTTCTTTTCTTACCTTTAAAAAAAAAGGGTTGATTGCTCCACTATATCGTATATGGATGCTAGCTAATAATGTACAATTAAATTAAAAGGGATATAATACGTGCATGACAAGATACTTATTATTGCAAGTCCTTGAAGATTCTATCGGTCAAATGCACGAAATAAAGCTTTACAATCATACAGGTCCTAAGCGATTCCATTATTGAAGATGAATAAATGATTATTTCTTAATCTTGTTCCTACATTATACATTATTTTTTACTAAATTGGAGAAGATAAAGACCGGAACAATTGTCTTCATTTGATAAAGCATGGGATGTTAATTGCATACAACAATTAATCATACAAAGCTGCAAATAATTGAAGGGTTTTCTACCAAAAAGATGTTTGTCCTTAGCATCTAATCATATCAATTGTGATTTGGTCAAATTTTACCTCAATTATGAATGTATCTTCCCTGGCTATTAGCCTGCAATAATTAAGACTAGTCTTTTTATATATGCACACTATCTGTGCTTGGATTTTTTTAATGTATGATCTGTTTTAAACTGACTAATAAATTAGTTTTTGTGAAAATACCTTCATGGTTCAGTTTTGGGTTGGGTTTATCGGTTTCGGGTTATAACGGATCGGTTTATAACAGGTTAAAATGATTAGCGGGTACGTTTTGGTCGGTTTTGAAAAATATCGGGTCATTTCGGTTTGGTTTTTTTTAATTGCGGTTTCTATTCGGGTCGGGTCTTAATCGAATCAGGTTGTAATCGGTTCGGGTCATAATCAGTTTGGGTTAAACAGGATCAGTTAGAAAATAGGTTTAGCAAGTTTAAAGCGGATTTTGGTTCAAAACAGTTCGGGTCCTAATCGGATCGGATTGTAATCGGTTCGGGTCATAATTAGTTTGGGTTAAACTAGTTTGATTTGAAAACGGGTTTCAGGTGAAGTCGAGTCGGGTCATTATTGGTTAAGGTCATAATCGGTTTGGATTGAATTGGGTCTGTTTGGAAACAGTTTTAACCAATATGAAGCGTGTTTCGTGTTCAAATCATATCAGGTTAAAATCGATTCGGATCATTATCGAGTCTAGTTAATCAAATAATGGGTAGGAACGGGTTAGGTTATAATCGAGTTAAGTCTTAAATATGTTGGGTTTATTGAATAGTGGGTTGAAACGGATCAGATCATAAACATATTAGGTTACGAGTTGTAAACGACTCGGTCATAATGGATTATGGTTTGTAAACAGTTCGGTCTCAACGGGTTATGGGTTGTAAACGATTTAGTCCTAATGGGTTACAAGTTATTAACCGTTCGGTCATAGCGGGTTATGGGTTGGAACGGTTCAGGTTAATCGGATTTTTGCCGAGTTTAAACGGTTTTCGGTTTAAAATGGGTTGGGTTACTATCGAGTTCGGACATAATCGGTTTGGATTGCTTTCGGTTTTTCGGTTGTAATGGTTTGACTTGATAATGGGTCGGGTCATTAAAGGTTTGCACTAATTCGGTTCAGTTCAGTTTCGGGTTGGAAAAAATTAGGTTGAGTCGGTTTACGGTTTTCAAAAGTTGGGTTTTTAACGGTTCAAATCCTTTTCGGATCAGTTCAAAACAGTCGGGTTTAACGATTCGGGTCAGAAACTGACAGCTCTAGGTGCAAATAATAGATTAAGAAATCTTTACGATATGTATGTGGACTATGGATACACATGCACTAAAACTATAGGGTTTTGAGCGCAAATATTCTCAACATTGATCGGAATTCACAAATCATTGCTAATATATATGTAGCTCTTAGTAAGTTAGTATTAACTTGTCGTTGATACAATGTATTCAGGTGCAGTAAGTTGCAAACTAATAAAGCTTGATTATCGAAAAAAAAATGGTTATAATAAGGTAAATAGATGCATCATTAAAACTTTTTGTTTCTAGATGATCTTAACCCTTAAAAGCTTTTAACAATTAGCTTTAGTTTATAGACTTTGTATATTTTTGACAAATACATTTTATCCCCTTACATAGTACTCCATAATATATGTTTAATTTATTATTTTTCCACATAATGTAGGTGTCAATTGAAATGCGCATATATACTTTAACACGTGTGAATCTGCTTGACAATTATATGAATTGAGAATTGACAAAATACGATTGCAAACATATTCATGTATGCTAAGGTAGACGCATTTCGCGCGACGCCTATAGTAAGGCTATTGGGGAAGGGGAAAACAAGGGTGTAGGGTAGGGTGGAGGTGGGTAGGGGAAGGTAAGGGCGGGGCTGGCAGGGAAGTTGGTGGTGCCGAAGATAAGATTATTTAAGAAAATTGGTTACCAACCAGTGAAGGTTCGTTAAAAGAAGATGGTTTCAAAGGTAGGATTACTTTGGATAAATTGAAAGTGGAATTTTAGGAATTTTATTGGAAGACTAGATTATTCTTTTTTATTTTCCAAATACTTTTTCACATGGTGAATAATTTTTTCATATTTCCAAATACTTTTCCACATGGAGAATAAATTCACCATTAAGGGTATGTTCTGTTCACCTTATCTTCACTTATTTAAGGTGTAATAAGTTCAGATAAGTTCAGTTAAGTTTATATAAGTTCAGATAAGGAAAAATAAGTTCTAATAAGGGTTACCCCAAGTACAAATTACAACTAAAATAAGTTTTGATAAGGTCTAAATTCAGAAAAGTTCATAAGACAAGATAAGTTCAGATAAGTAAAAATCAGGTGAATAAAACACAGCCTAAGTAAGCTCTCCAAGGGTGTTTGATTGGAGCTTTTGGAATGGAGTTAGAGTAATAGAGTCCATCCTATTTTATTGTTTAGTTAGACAATTTAGATGTGAAATCTCTTACTAAGAGGGTAAAATAAACACATACAGAGTAGAGCTAAGCAAAATTATCCGAAAACCCAAAAACCAGAACCGTAAACCGAACCGAAAATTAGGGTACCCGTTCCGATAACCATAACGGTTTCGGGTACCTGATCCAATAATTTGTTATCAGGTACGGTTATTGGGTATCATTTAAAAAATAATGTTACCCGATCCGATCCGATAAACAATTTTTTCATTTTTTTTCCTACTTAAATCTATTTATCCAAAATCTAAACTCTTACTTTACTTCATAATCACTTTATAATTTAAATGGTTAGTAATTTTATTAGTAATTTGGTCATGATCATGTGGTATTATTGTTGACACAAACTATTAGGTGCGTCCACCCGCACCCAACAGTTTTTGCGGTCATTCTCCATTTTTCTCTGTTTCACTTTTTTTCTCTCTGAAAATGAGAAAAGTGAACCTTTCTTCTTTCTTCTACCAATTTGCGATTTACTTGGAGGCGATTTGCGATTTTTGCACCATCAATTGTTGCGATTTGCGATTTGTGGTTGGAGGTGGTGCCGCAATTGGGTGATTTTGGGGAGGTGCAGGAAGATCGAAGTTGAACCACGATGAGTTTTGGACATGGAAGATCGGCCACTGTGAGTTCTGGCTCAAGACGATCGGCGATAATGGACATGGAAAATTGGGCCACCGTGACATGGAAGATTGGTTGCAGGTGGTTGTTGTGGGGATGCGAGTTTTAGTGGCCGGAAATTAAGGGGTTGATCTGGTGGTCGATTGGTTGGTGGGTTTGGTGGTTTGTGGGTGCGGTGGCTTGGGTTCAGTGGTTGAAAGAGAAGGAGAGGGAAAGAAAGAGAGGAAGAGGAAGAGGTGCTGGTAGTAGTTTGCTGCTGGTGGCGGTTCGGTACTAGTGGTGGTTTGATGGTGGCTGGGTGCTGCTGTTGTTGGTGGCAAGAGGTGATCGGACTGATTTGTGGAGGAGGAAATTAGGGGTGGTGTGAGGAACGAAGGAGAAGGCTGAGGGGTGGCGTGAGGAACAAAGTAGAAGAAGAAGGAGAATGACTTCTATAAAAAAAAAGGAGAAGGAGAATGACGCATATAAGCCAAAAAAATTAACATTTAAGCTAATAAATGTCTGATATCAGATATTAATAAAAATGTACCAGCTAATAAAAGCAACCTATCAGCCAACAAAATATATATATCAGCCAACAAGAGGAATATATCAGCCAACAAAAGGTACTTATCAGCCAAGAGACGGAACATATCAGCCAACAAATGAAGCATATTAGGCAACAGAAGGATGAAATCAGCGAATAAAAGCAACATGTAAGCTAACAAAAGAAATATATCAGCCAACAAAAGATGCATATCAGCCAACAAAAGGTACTTATCAGCCAACACAAGGAACATATCAGCCAACAAAAGGATGAAATAAGCAAACAAAAACAATAGGTAAGCCAACAAAATAAACATATCAGCCAACAAAATGATACATATAAGCTAAAAATTAAAATATACATATCAGCTAACAAAATAAATATATAAGCCAACTAAAGAAACATATAAGCCAAACGATGTCTGATATCAACCAATAAAAGGAGCCTATCAAAAAATAAAAAAAAAAATATATCAACCAACATAAAGAATATACTAGCCAACACATGAAACATATCAGCCGACAAGTAAAATATATCAGCCAAGCTAGCCGCACGAAAATTTGCGTGCGGGCATCTGCACGCAATAGCTTCTCTATTGTTAATTAGTGTTGAATGATATCATAATAACTAGATTATAAAGTCTAAATTTTCATTATTGGATAGCATATTGGGTATCCAAAAATCAATTCGAAAATCCGAGTACCTATCCGAACTTATCGATTCGATTAATGGATATCATATTTAGTGTTATTGATTATCGGATACCCGAACTAATAGTGTTAACGGTACGGGTACCTGACCCATTGTCACTTTTTATATTTTTTGAAAGAAAAATACAACAGTATTTTGAAACCCTAAGAAGGTGAAGATAGAGAGATAAGAGTGATAAAAGAGCGAGTGAGAGATAGAATGTTAACGACGACGAGAAGAACAATCGGTGGAATTCCAAGTTCGGTGGCGTCACTGAGCAAGAGGCGGGTATTAGGATTAGCTTTAGCTCCAAAATTCATACAAGTAGTATGTTGTTCATCTTCAGCAGCAGAAAATTCCAGAAAGCTGATTCTTTATTCAAAACCGGGCTGCTGTTTGTGTAATGGCCTCAAAGAGAAATTGTTGGCCGCCTTTTCTCTCTCCTCACCCACAGATCCCCTCCACAATGTCGACTTACAGGTAATTCTTTCATTTCATCAATGGCGTTCTCGCTTTCTTCTTATGTTCATCTGACATTTTTAATTAATTGAAATTGATAGATAAGAGATATTACCACTAATCCAGAGTGGGAGAGGGCTTACCAGTACGAGATTCCTGTTTTGGCTAAGCTACAAACTGATGGTACCGAGGTCTGTATCTGCCACGTCTATTTATTCTCTGTTTTTTTTTTTTTGTTTGATTTGTTGATTTATGCTGCGATTTAAAGCTGTATATTGTATCAAAGATTTTAATTTCAATTTGCTTAACAAAAGCACAAGTATCCTTCATTATTTGATTAAGGGATAATTTAATTGAAAAATAATTCATGTTCGTACTTCTCAAACTAGAACAAAAGTAAGGACGAAACTTAGCGAATGACAAAATCTAACAGATTGTATGCTGACATTTTAGTTATTTTAACAGCTTTTCATTGAATTCATGAATTGTAACTTGGAAACTACTTTCAATGCTCACAATAGTGGTTTTTAAGTGTGTTGCTTGTATAAAAACGTGTCTATAAACAGTATTATTGCACGCTGTGCATTCGATGGGCTTTGGGGTATTAGGGATGAAGGTTGGGTATAGATGACAGCCATTATCAATTTCCATAAACCACAGTCCTTGTTGTTTTGGCACTTAAGTCCTCTTTCTAGTCCACATTGTGCTTCGATACTCCTAGTCCTAGTCACGTGCCAGCTTGCCTAGTACGCAGAAAAAAGAGGTTTTTTTTTTTTTTTTTTTTTTTTTTTTTTTTTTTTTTTTTTTTTCTAGTGCCCAGATTGTCAACACCTCTCATCTGATATAGCATGAAAGATAACCAGAATGGAAAGCATGAATCGACATATACTAGAAGGAGAAGGTCAATCCTTATCCGATCCCCACAACTTGAATCCAGTTTACAAGCACAATCACCTTCAAATGACTTTTAGGCACCACAATTGGAGCTTGTGGATTTCAATCACTTATCCTTCAATTCATTTTAACACTTCAATACCAAAAAATCACCTTAGAGGCTTATACTGCTTAGCTATAAGCTATGTTTTGAGTTTTGGCCAACCTTCAAAAGTTCAATGTAACTCATAAAAAAATTTCCCTTTGGGTAGTATTGTAACTCCTAAAGAAACTTTGTCCTTGTCTAGCTATATTATAAAAACTATAAAATTAGGCTATGTTCTTGTAGAGAATCAACCAGAGGCACATGCGCTATTGCTTCATTCTAGAAGGGGTGTGAAGGGCCAAAAAGTATTAATTGAAAGAAGTAGTTGATTAATGATAGCGAATTCTTTTGCTTGATTTATTTTCTAGGGTTCTCAAGGAATACTTAAAATTCTGTTGAGGGCTCAACTCATCTATCCTTTTAAATTATCAATACGAATAAAGTATGATTTTTGTTTATGTTCTATAAAGATCTACATCATTCAGTATGGCATTATTATGGGGGTTTATGGCAATAAGCGCTGTGTCCTCCCCCCCCCCCCCCCCACCCACCCAAAAAAAAAAAAAAAAAAACCTCTTACTTGATTGGCTTCTTGGTAACCATGTTGGCAATGTCACAATGTTTGTCAATGGGAGTTGAATCTTCTACTCCCTCCGGTTATAGATAAGTGCCTTACTTTGACTGTGTTCATTATACTTATACTTCGTACTAACTTTGACCTTTTTTTTTTTACTGATTATAAAATTAAAAATTACTGCTCCCGTTTCACAATAGGTGCACCGGATGGACTTGCCTTACTTTCCAACACTTCTTTGACCATTAATTTTTGGAAACATTAATTAATAAAATCATGTACAAAAATTATAATTTTGAAAACGTACTTTAGACCAATCCAACATTATTTTACATATAAATTTTTAATTTTTATATACATGTAAAAAATGTGGTCAAGTAAATAAATGAATAGTGCAAAAAGTCAAAGCGTACATTTATTGTAAACAGAAGTTGTATTATGATATATACTATCGTATTAGGTACAATATATGTATACAATTAAGTATTATCATTAGATCAACTCCTTAAATATTTATAAATATACAACTAAGTATATTAATTGTGTAAGTTATGTGTTAAACATACCCGATTGAACTTTGGCATCCCATATGGCCATATCCCATGTTTCCCCATATCATCCCTTGGGAATTAATTAGATCTGATGTAGAGGATCTTTGGTATGCACCCCTATGCAATCGTCTCCCTCATACTACCCTACATCTCTTGTATGTGCTAGGTGCATGATTTTACTTCTTCATCATCATCTCTTTTGCGTTTCTTATAGCTCCTTGCCTCTTTCGATGTTCTTTTTGAGTCATTCAACTGCAGAATTTTGGGAATTTTGTGTCATTACCCTGGTCTCGTTCAGCTCTGTCATGGTCATTACTTGATTGGCCCTTATTCCAACTTATCATCATTTAGCTTGGGCATTTTGGAAATCCAATAAATAAAAATCTTACTTACATTATTAGACTTAATAATTTAAAAAAGGAAAATTTATTGTATTTGTTATTCTCTAATGTACATTAATTTGAAACTATAATACTTAATTGATAAATATAAACTTCAATGTGGGATTTTGTTAGATTCGTCTCGACTTTTAGTTTCCAAATCTATATTTCTTATAAGTTTTGTAATGTGTACTTAGAGATATTGTTATTACAATATTGAATTGAAACATTGTATAAAGCAAATAGGACAAATAAAAGAAAACGGAGGGAGTGTTGTTTATTTGTTCTTGGCTTTTCAAAGGTTGATACCCCAACAACAATTTAATTAGCATTCATTCTAAAGAGGAATGAAGGATTAGTAATGCTGGTTGGCTTCCCCTTTCCTTTCAAGGCTTCTCTTAATCCTTTGACTAAACCCCCCCCCCCTATTCTTAAAATTTCCTCATTTTTGTCATTGGTCTTATTGTTGGAATGTTGGTACTAATTATATTTAATATTGTCATTATTTCTACTGGTGCAGTATTCTTGTAAGAGTTCCTAAATATTCTTGTAATTTTTTTATTATTTTTTTATGCAGGAAACACTACCTAGATTATCTCCCCGACTTGGTGTTGAGGCCATTCAACGGAAAATAGGAGAAGCATTTAGGCAGTAACAATGTTCTGGATGCTTGGCATTTTGATGCTTTTAAAACACCAGTTATCTATTTAAGCCCAACTTGCATGCTATTCTTCCCTTTGAACAGATCTTTGTGTGCATTTTTCTATTTTATCTGTGGTATATGAAGACTGTTACAGTTTTGTTGTTGAGTGTTGCAGTTTTTATTTTATTTATTTATTTTTTTTTATTTTTTTTGGGGGGGGGGGTATAATTTTTATGCAGTTTGGTCTGCTTTACAGCTTGCTTTGTTGCTCGGTATATGCTCATCACTTTGATTTAGCCATCTAGAGCATTTTAACACAAAATGTTATGGGCACTTTATACTAACTTTTGCACTAAATGGATTCACGGCATAGTGTTGGAGATGAATATTAGAGTGTTGATGTACTTTCTGCCTAGTCATTATTTGCTACCTTAGTAGTAACTTTGGAACATGGTAGGTAGGTTTTTTGCATTATAAACTGCAGATGAGATATTTTGCACTGCTATGTATTTTTTAGCAGAGGTATACTAATAAGTCAGGTATGCATGCAGTGCAGTGGGACCTCACGGCAGAAAAAGCTAGCAGTTAGTGATAGAGCAACATTGTTTCTTTGGCCCGAATCTTGAAATTCCTTAGAAATGATGCAAAATAGATCTTGTTCTATCCTTGACGAAAGGAAGGAGCCCTTGATTTGCAACACATAGAGGAGGATTTATTTAATCGTATATTTTGAATTCCTGTGGCTTTCTATTTGATTGTATCGAAAGGCCCAATGAATTTTAATACACCCCTTCATGATGCTTGGATTAGGGAAAAGATCTAGCAACAAAATGGTATATGATATTGCACTCTACACGATGAGGAACCTGCAAGGGACCTGCTGGATTGTGGTAGGCGTAGTGCATGGGTTACATATCCATTATTTTACCTAATGGATGTCCACAATGATATATATTTGTTTTTTCTTTTTTTCTTTTTTTTGGGGGGGGGGGGGGGTGAGGTGGTGTAAGAGAGTGGATAAGTTGTTGCATTGTCTTCATATTAGTTTTCTATTATTTGTTCCTCCTATTTCATTCCATTAATTAGCAGTTCTATTGTCTTTGTAAGTGTTTTTATTTTTTTTCAAAAAAATTTACTTCGTATTTGTTCCTCCGATTTCACTTCATTGAGTAAGAAGGGAGAGAGCAAGTATGCACTGTAGAGAAAGCGAGAGAAGAAAGCACTGGTGAAGGATTTTGCATTAATAACTCAACTTTGGGAATTTGGCTTCGGCAACGTAAGGTATGTAAAGCTTGCCTTTAATTTTTGTATTTGTATAAATTATGTTGATTTCATCATATCAATGCTAATTGCTCAATTTTTTGTTAGTAAGATTGGAGTTCAGAACAAAAATTTGATTTGAGAACGGTTATTTTTTTGTTCTATCATGGGTTTTGGGGTTAATTTTGCACAACATTACAAAGAATGCTCATAACCTGACTTTCCCTATCTTGCTCAAAGTGGGGACTTTTTTTAAAGCGTTAGTGTAATGCTGATGTTATGATCTTTTCAAATATTGTTGCATAAGTAAAATTTTGGCATGATTTTACTGAAGGACTTTAAAAATTTTGGGTCATTTTTTAATGATTCCAGCAAGGCCTCCAATCCTGGTAACTCAATAAAATTCCTGTTAGAAGAAATGTGGCATGTCAGAAGTTTGTTAAGATGGGAGGGAAAGTGCAGTTAATCGGGGGAAAGCTAGAGAGAGAAAGTCATTCAAAAAGTGTCATATCAAAGCTTTTTCATCCGGAGTGGTCTAATGCATTTTAATGCTTAGGGTTTGTATTAAATCTAAGTTTCTCTCAGCTTCTCTGTATTTGATTCTACAATTATCCATTTTATTCTTCTACTTGTATTCTGCAAATTCTAGTTTGATTCTCATCAGATTTCTATCCATTCCACATCACTTTATATTAGGAAATGTTACAAAAATTTTTAATATCTTAAAGTAGTATTGTGACTACCGATTCTAGAAAGACATAAAATTAAGGGTGCATTATATTTACCTGTTTGTCACTTGTCTGTACTTATCTTCTCTGAGTTTATATATCCTAAAGTGAACTTATTATAGCTAGTTGTAGTTGTGAACTGAACTTGGGTAGCCTTTATTTTTTCATGAACTAAAATTTTCTGAACTTTGAACTTGTTTTCTTGAATTAGGTGAATGGTGATCAAAAGACACGTCTTAGGAAATGGTGAGGATTCAAGCTTGATAATGCTTAAATTATGGTATAATTTTGGGGGATGGTGAAAGTTTTCTTATGGGTTATCTAGTAGGGAATTTAAAGGCATTAATGATATAGTTTAGATCAAGTATTGGTATACACTTATACCAGTTTGGTAAAAATATTATGGGTGTGGCACACAAATTTTAGGGTTTTGTGGCATATATCATCTCTGGAACATGGTTTGAGGAAGATTGCGTTTCTAGGTGAAGATGGGAATTTTCACTATTGAGGAGGATCTATAAAATTCATGAGATCAACAAATCTGAGTTTATTAACGAGTGCTAAAATTTAGTCAAATGTTGTATCCAGCTCACCCCCTCATCCCAAAGTCAGCAGCCTAGCTCACCTCAATACAAACAACCCAGTGCCTTAAACAAAACCCTAGCTATTGACAAGAGAGAAGTTAACTACCTAAGGAAGTCAACTCAGGGAATTTGTTCACCTTATATTATCACCCCCACTTTGATTAGTCAAGATAAACTTATTACCCAGAACTTTTGGTTCAATTTTATTTTCATCAAAGTCCTCGTGTCCACTGCCTAGTTCTGTACAACCTCCATCCTTACCCTGAGCTTCTACCCAACAAGCATGCTCTGCTTCATACCCATTTACCGTGGAGAACTAACGTCTTATGAATAAACATCACCTCCCAGATTAGATGATTTTTCAATTAGATCAATTGTGGCTACAAATTGTGATGAGGGTTCTAAGAGTAATTATTAACTGTAGGTTACGAGTAAGAAAAAGGAGAAGAGTGACTAAAAGATAGATGAGGATTGAGGATGAAGCAGGTGATGAAAAATTGGTGCATAAAAAGAAGTTGGCCCTATGAAACTTTGAATCAAGGAGCATAATTGAGTTCAATGAACTGATTAAAAATAGAAGACCTCCAAGAAAATGATGAAGGCTCTGAATAAGGAGCTGCTATCACATTTATCTCAGAGAAAAACACATAAAAGATTTGCATCAAGCTAATGCTTCACAGACCACTTCTGCTACCCTTTCCAAGTGCATCATGCAGTGTAGGAGCTTTCAAAGTTGGATTTCTTGTTAGGTTGTATTTGTGTTGATGAAAAGTTTTGCAGTTACTCACATGATGAGAGTCCAATGCTAAAGGAGGTTAAGATTTTTGAGAAGCCTGTTGTCACAATGCTAATTGCTAGTTTTTATGTAAATGCTCCCCGCCTATGGGCCTAGAGGCAACTAGGCAATAAATAATTGCAGCATATGATAAGAAAGGCACAATTGCTGTAGATGGAATGGGAAGTAATCCTAGTTTGGGTTTGTAGAACCTAGGATCGAGTAGATCCCGTGTGCTCATGCAATCATGCTACAAGTGCCATATTGTGTATAAGGACTAAAAATAAGGAACCTGAGTTTTTGGTTTAGTTGGTTGAATGAACTGAAGCTGAAAATTGTTGCTAGTTGCAAACAAGGCCAGTGAAGACTTGTTGAGATCGTGAAGAAGAGAGGCCAATCCTAATTAAAGCTGGGCACTGCTGCACTGGTCAAAGAAATCTTGCCAGCTAAATTGTGCATGGGAATGATGAAAGATATCCCAACCACACAGTCAAGTTTCCAGCCCAGGTAAAGAAATGTGAAGGGAATATGAATTTTGGAGAAAATATATAACTGAAAGAGAATTGCTAGGAGCAAAACAGGAACTACAGTAGGTCATGGTTAGGATAATGTAAGTGGAGAAGGATCTAGGTAAACAATGTGTATGATGCTCAATTCTTGTACATTTAGAGGACCTGTGGCTGTAAGCTACTTCAATTTTGAAGCATCTAATATCATTTCCAATTTATATACTCTCAAACACCTTAGATCTGTGGCTGTAAGCCACTTCAAAGACCTGGTGGACTGGACAATATATGCGCTGTTTTAATTCTTACTCTTCACTGATTGAAAGTAGTATTTATTTCCCACATTTGTTTAACGTAGATAGTAGAAAAAAGTGAATTAAACCCATTGAAATTCTACAAGTTAGCATCTGGTGCTATTTACTGCCAACTCTTTGCTAATGTATCTATTTTCTGCCATTTACAGTAATCTACATGCAGAAGATTTTCAGGCTTTCAGCCTTCACAATTTTACCTTTTTTTATATATATATATAAAAAAAAACAATTAATACTGTTCTCAATTTTACTTTTTACAATTTATTTTGAGACCTCTCACAAACTATGCAATAAAAAATACGAATTTTCAGATTTTACGTCTCGGGACAACCTAAGTCTTATACTTCTATGTATAGTAGTTTTAATATAAATTTATTTGTGATTAGAATGTCTAATTTTCCCAATAGAGATTTTCTTTACCTTTTCAGATTTTACTAATGTTTGATTTGGAACCTCCAAGTGACAGGTGATGTAACAAGCTAAGCTAATAAGAGGAAGACTTGCAACAATATAGTACAGTAATATTTTTGGGTGTTTTCAGAAAAGATATCTCTATTTGATGTTACTACTTAGAAGACTTAAGAGGGCTATCAAGTATCTATCTCGGATGGATGAGCAAACGTATATCAGAGGCAATTTGGCAAAGCTGTGCTTAGTGTGTTTTTTTTTTTTTTTTGGACGGGGTGCTTATGGTTGTTGAGAAAGATAAATTACAGAAGAGAAACGACAGCACCCTCAAATTTACTGGCAAAGTTGGCGATGAGGAGGGGAGGGGTCTCAACAACGGGAAGGGGAGAGAAGATATTGGCGGCAATGAGATGTGAGGAGCGAGAAAATGGGCCATACTGGTGCCTAGTTTGTGAGATACATATTTTTTTTTTTTTTTTGACAACGGTTCAAAAGAAGACTAGCTTCCAACGGCATAGTACTTGTATTACTAGTACGGTGAGATACATTGAGGCGGAATTTTTAATAGAGATGGTGTTTGAGAAATTTGTCTTCCTATATGTTCTATACTTAATTTACAAAGATAATAAATTTAATCAATAGTGTACGAATCATTGTGACAATTATTATCAACAAGCTTTGCTCTTTTTTCTTTCTTTTTTTTTAAACAGTAAGATATGGGGGAGGCCCCTCCTACCACAGGAGGGGGGGGGGGGGGGGGTGGGGGATGACTCCTTGATCCTCGCAAGCTTTGCTTTATGTGCCTTAGAGAAACCATTTAATCCTTCTGATTATTTTGTAATAGCAGCAAAGATCAATTGATAGTTTCTTTACAAGAACTGAGAATTGAATCACGGCAGTGGAAGCACATACTAAAATAGGTTTTTCCAATTAGATGTAGGAAGGAAGGTGATACACATAAGAACTAGCTCGACATAACACATAATCCCCGTCTGTGGGAGGATTCTATGCTAAATAAATTTCTGCTGGGGCAAAACTCAAAAATCTATCAACTCTAGTTCTCCTTTGAAGAATGAAGAACCTTCCCCAGAACTTGATTTTATCAGACTCGGTAATAATAACTATATAAGTTTCTTCTTCTGAAAGTAGCGCTTCAGATGCCACACCTGGATAAGTGAAGCCACAATACCCACGCTGAGGGACATAATACTTAACCAGGCAACTCTGGCATTGGTTTTTTCACTCACTTCCCTCATTTCCGCCTCCCTGTACAAAATCATTCAACAAAACTATTTGTCAGCTTCAGTTTTTACATTGTTGTATCAAAATTTCTCATAACAATGAACAATCTTGGCGCTACACATTAGACAGCAAGCTATTAATTTAACAGCAGCAGACTTCACTAAACTATTAGGATAAATCCGTGTTGTACCGGCATTAAAGCATAACTACACGAAGAACTCGGGTGGAAAGTTAACAATAAGTACAAGTCTAGTGAAGATTGAAGAGCATATGAAGGATATAAGTGGGTGCAGATGGATGTGGAAACTGAAAGTGAGTGAGGTACCTACCTGTTCTTCAAATAGAGTAAATTCTGATGAATAGATTCGACTGCAGATTCAAGTTTCCGAAACTCGAGTTCAACACCCTAAATAGAGAATGAAGTAATAGAGGTATTAGTGTGAGTTGAACGAGAACAGAATAGAATAGAATAGAGAGAAGTCGAGTAAGAGTAATTGCCTCGATATGCTCTTGTTTAGCAACAGAATCCCAATCTTTGGCAGCAATCCCGATTTTCCAGTCAAGATTGAGAGTTGCAGGTTGATGGTTACCATCAACCCAGAAGCAGGCAACATAATTACCAATCTCAGTAGTTGTAAAAGCAAACTGACCATGGGTCACATTTTCTTTGTGGTATAGATTGTTGCCGTAAGGAGATGTCACCTGTTTTGCAATTTACATCCCAAAGTAAAAAACCATAGAACTGAAATTAAAATCCAACATCCAAGAAGAATAAAAAGAAAGAGACCTTAGCCGAAACAGTGGGAGACGCGTGACCTTGTTCATCGATAATAACATAATCAGCAACGACAACAACATTATTCAGGATCTCCTCAGAAACGCACTTAGTACCTGTACTTGGTAGATTCAGCCATATTCCCTCCGTAAATCGACTACTCATCATCAGCATCATCAAGCTCATTACTATTACGCACCTACCCATCTCTTTCTCTCTTTTATCTCTGTAATCTGACTACTGAATTACTGATTCACTTCCTAAAAATTGATTGAAAACCCTTCTCTGTTCTCTCCCGAACGAAGGAAATTATACGGTTTCCCATGCTCCCTGAAGCTGCGCGTTTCATATATCTTCTTTATTTCAGACACGCACTCTCATCCTCCCTGGCGTATCTTTCTCCAATTATGCCTTGCCACGACTCACTTGCCACGTATACGTGGCCGCTAACCTTTTATTTATTTATTAATTTTTAAGAAAATAGATCCTTTTCAATTTGACTATTTCAAAAACCCTTTCTAGTCTCTACCACTCTACTAGAAGAATTCTGTTGACTATTTTACGATTAAGGAGGAAGATTTCTTTCAAAAATAGTGTTTTTCTTTTTCTTTTTTTAGTGTAAAGAGAGTTGCATGAAGGACACCGTACGATAGATTCAAGCCAAGTTTTAGGTTGTATCACCCTTAAAAAGTTAACTGACTAAGATAATTGACAGGATATATATACCCACTACTCTCACTATTTTTTTAAGTACCCCATTATAGTATGTGCGGAGTTTTAGGTTAAAGACTGAAAAGAGTAAAGTAATACGGAGTATGTAAGTGGGGTAATAGGAATAAAAAAGTTGAAAAGGTAAGAGAGAGAAAAATGAAGGGGTCCCTAGGTATAGGCCTTGTTTGACAAATGGATGTTGGCGGTTGGTGGTTGGCTGGTTCACTTGGCTTGTTTGACCAGCTGAAATGCTTGGCTGTTTATAATGACTTTTGAAATTGACTGTTTAAGCTGACTGTTTATAAAAGTGTTTGGTAAATTTAGTTGTTGGTTGTTGGCTGTTATAATTTGAGGGCCAACAAGCCAAAAGCCAGCAAAAAAAAGCTACTTAAAGCAGCATTTTCATTCTGGCTTAAAAGCCAGCTTTTTCGCCGAATGAAAAGCCAATTACCAAACACTTTTTTTTTTGTTGTCTGACCACATAAAAAAGCCAAAAGTTAACCAAAAAGTCATTTACCAAACATGGCCATAATGTAGAGGGAGAAAAACAAAAACTAACAAACGCCCGTGGCATTGGATAAGATAACCAAAAGGTAGAAATATTAAATTAAAATGGATATTAGTTACATCGATCGACGCATGATTTTGGTATGCATTCTCGTATTAATACTACTTTAAAAATATTTGAAATGCTTATTTAACGCCCCGAGGGCGTTTGTTGGTAAAATCCTTATAATTACTATACATACTTCTTCCATTCCCCTAATATTGCAACATGGGGATAAAACACGGATTTTAAGAAGAGGAGAGAGATAGAGAGGAACAAAGATGACCCATGTGAAAAGAAGAGAGAAAGAGAGAAAACATAGTGTGCAAATAGGAAAATGTTGCAATACTTGTAAAACTTTCTAAAATGGTAATTGTTACAATATTTGTGTAACGGAGAGAGCAGGTCTTTTCACAACAAAGTTACCGTATAGGTGGAGTCAGGTCAATAGTATGTTGCATTGTAAAAGGAGAGGTCCAGGTCAATATAGGTCATGAATTAATGGTGGGTAGGCCGATAGAGGAAAAAAAAAAACGCACACTCTCTTTACTAACGCAGCACCTCTACCCATTACCTTTACCATTCATCAAAATTTCAAGTTCTCTTTTCTCTCTTTCTTGCTAAGTGGCGAAGTATTATAAAAATATGATAATTATTTTAAATAATTAAGGCTCGTTTGGCATTGTTGTGGTTTTCTGTTTTTTGGTTTTTTGTTTTTCAAAAGTCGATTGGTTATTAATGAATGTTATTATTTAATGTATTTTAGTATTTTTACAGACGTTTGATATTTTACTATTTAAAAAATTATCTACATATTTAAATTTTACTGACACACATTTTAAATATAATTAAACTTAATAAATTTAAGAAATAATAATAGGTACAATGTAGTGAGATATACATAAAAGTAAGAGAGACAGAATTAAAGAGTATTACAAGAGGATACTCTTGTTGTGGGAAATTATAGAGGAGGAGGAAAATAAAGAGTATGTAGATAGTAGAAAGTGGGGTATAGGAAAAAGTACATGATATGTCAAAAGGAGAATAGGAGAGAGAGTGAAAAAGTAAGGAAATAGAATACTCCCATTGAGGATGCTCTTAGGAAGAAAAGAGAAAAGTAGTATGATAGTAAGAGAATTTGAGAGATTAGGGCTTTAGAATTCTAGGTTTTTTTAATTCTGCTTTTTTTTGTTGTCATTAGGGCTAATGAAGACCCCTATTATAGGCGTAGGAATCTAGGTTTAGGGTTTTAGAGCCGCGACATCAGGTGGTGCGTGCAACTCTAAAAAATTTAGGGTAGTAGAAAGGGCTCCGATACCATGTTAAGATATATGCATAAAGGCTCAATCCTCTTATTTCACCATAGCCAAAATATTTATACACCTTCTCTGTTGCTCCTTGAACAACAAGGTAGAGATCTATTACAATAGGAAACTTATCATACTATCCTAAGATAAGATTAACAATATAACAAATAAATATATCTTTTCCTAACAATAATATGCTATCATATCTTTTCCTAATACCCCCTCAAGTTGGAGCACTTGGATCAAAGATGCCCAACTTGAATCATATGATATATATCATATCATATAATGAATCAAAAATTAGTCAAACTAATTAAAATTATGATAATTTTGAAAACTGATAACAAAAAAGTGAAAACACCTTTTTCTTGTTTCTTGTTTTTGGTTTTTTGTTTTCAACAAAACAGAAAACTAAAAACCAAAAATGATGCCAAACAAGAAAAGATTAATTGATTTGCATATGATAATCAAATATATCATATGGCACACTGTGTATTCATATGAATTATTTAAGTGTGGTCATTCATCGCAAGTGCTTTAGATTACAAATTCAATACCATTATTGCTCCCTTGCTTTTACAAGTCACTTTAAGTGCATTTTCCGATTGATGATTTATTACATAACCAAATAATTATGAACAAAATGTAAAAATAACGAACATTTTTTTCCGAAGAATTGACAATTTCGTGCAACATGACTGAAATAGGAACTTCTATTTCATAAAATTTGAAGAAAATGGTATGCACTATTTCATAAAAATTGAACAAAATAGTATTCATTGTTTCACACAAATTGTACAAAATAGTGTACACTATATCATCCTAGTTATATGAAACCATATGATTGAATTTCTTGTGCAAATTTTTTCCTATATATTATGTTTTGTAAATTTAATTTTAGTGATGGTGATTTAATTTCATTAATCAATCAATTAATAACAATGAAGGAGAGAAACATGAAAAGGGAAAGGAGAAGGAAAGGAAAAAGGGGTAATATTGGGTTTTGAGAGGTTGCGTTAAGTAAAGAGAGGTTACGCTTAGCAATCATGAAAAACAAAAGTGAGAGACACGAAAGAAATATAAGGTAATACTAAACAAAACGCATTAATATATTTTTTTTACCTTATTTTTTATTTTCTACAAAATATCAGGCTATAATTTTATGTTGAATTTGATCATATAACCAACAAGAGTTGGCTCAAATGGTAAACAATTTGATGTCGCTTAAGGGGTGTCACAGATTCGAGCCTCACTTAATGCAAAAATCTTTTGTTGGGACACCACCCACCAAAACCAGGTGTGTAACCCGGGTTGGATCCAGATATGGTTGGTGAACCGAGTGGGGCATACTCTAAAAAAAAGAAAAAAAGAATCTACCCAGTCTTATGGATAAGGCTTATGGATCATATATTTATAAGGTTACACAGTCTTATAACCACCCTATCTACCCAAAAGAGTGCAGGTTTAGGCAAGCCTATAAATACATTTTTAGTTAAAACCCGAACCCGACCCGAAAAAACCCAAAAGTCCACTTTGGCCCGATAAGCTCGCCCCTTTTGTATGGGTTTGGGCATGAGATTTAATGCTAAGAATCGGCTCGATCTGACCCCACCCAAATTTTGATCACCTCTACTATAACCCATGCAAGTTTGAGCCATGTCTAAGTGTTTAACTCTCCATTGCTTAAGTTTACTCAAGCAAATGCCTTTTCCTAGCCAAACGAATACATATAGCTTTCCTAAGATATTACCTCTTCCCAATTCTAAACAATCAACATCATCCAATACCTCTTCCATTGAAGCCTTTCTTGCTCCCCTACCTATATATCATGCTTTCATACATCTCCATCCATCTAAAATGATTGCCCCAACTATAATTGATCTTGAGCTAACCAAAATGTGCTTAAATCAACTGGTAGGAGAGTTAAACTAACTTAACTAAGGTATCGGATTCAAAACTTGGGAACAAGCACATGTTGGGAGAGCTTTCCAGTTTGAATCTAGCATCGGAGTCTCGTAAGCTCTAGATTGCTTGTATACTTGCATAATGAACCTAAGCTAAAGCTACTCTTTTTTGTAGGTAAAAATAAAGTCTCATAAGCTCTAGATGTGTATACTTGCATAATGAACCTAAGCTAGAGCTACTCTTTTTTGTAATGGTACTTCATATATCTTTCACCTTTGGACCAACTTTAGAAATGATGATGCTTTTGGAGTTATTGATAGACAAGAAAGTTTTTACCGCTTCAACAACAAGACAAGGAGAGAAGTTTTGGAATCCAGTTTCTTTCAGATAGATGAGGCTTCGATAAGCTAAGAACTTCAATTGATATACAAAAAATCAAATTTGAATAGTGGAATAGGTTTCAAAAATAAGCCAATAAATATTATCAAAATGATCATTGGCATCCACTAATAAATCAAAATAACTCCAAGATAATTCATCAACTTATACATTTTCTTTAGAATCCAGAGTTCTAAGTATAGGCATCTCCCAAATCAGGGGAGAAAACAAAAATAGGAATATAGTGTGTTTTCTTATACAATCATAATAAACCTCCAAATCCTATCATCAATGATATAGTACCTTAAATAAAATATGCCTGATATCCTTGGAAAGCTATATAACATCTAGGCATCAACCTGGAAAGAATCAATAAAAATAAATTTATCAATACAGTGTATGACTAAATTCATAGTTACAGAAGCAGGGAAATGACCAATAAAATGAAAGTGGAATCACTCGTATTCTTAGGATATACTTAGCAATTCTTAATTATTAAAACAGCTCATGGACAAATTTGTTAAAGTTGATAGAATTACCTTCTCGAATATTGCTTTAACTTCCTCAAATACAACATCTATTGGCTTTGCTGCATCAATCTACAAGATAGTGAAGATTTGAACAAATTAGATCAAACAAGCCAGCAAGCGAGTGAAGACAAAAGAAAAAAGCTGCTAAGTGACATGCAAACTGGAAATTACCCTTCTAACTTTTCCAAGATTGTCATAGTACTGAATAACCGGGAGACTGGATTCCATGTATACTTTGAAACGCTTCCTAATAGTTTCAATATTATCATCTTCTCTTCCCTTGATGGCAATTAATAGGTAATGATAAAGCAATAGGAAAATAGGTCAACAAGGAAAAGATGAAAAATAGATGAGCTAAAAAATTGAAGAGGCCATATTTCTCCAACCTGGTTTCTGTTAAGCAGGCGCTTCTCCATCTCCTCCTCTGAACAATCAAAAAACAAAACAATTTCTGGCACTATTCCTGTCTGTACAAACACAAATTAGAAAATAGATTCAAAATGCATAAAAACTAACAAGAGTAAGGAAAATAACTATTACTGAGAAGCCTTACAATAGATTCAAAGGATGCACGATTCTCCTCATTACGGGGAAAACCATCAATCAGAAATTTTTCATTGCCACTTTCCTGAATAGCTTTCTGAAGAAGCTTAATAGTCACCTCAGCTGGCACAATCTTTCCCTCCTTGATCATGTTCTGGATCATGGTACTAGAAACCAAACAGTGATATGCTACTTAGGTCAATCGCAATTTTGATAAAAGCTTAGAAGCCAATGTGAGAACATATTCAATCTCACTCTCGGAACCAGATTAGATCTCAATGTTCAAAAACATTTAAAAAAAACAAAAAGTATACCCATTCTCAGAACCAGATTTGATCTCTGCTCGTAAAAGGTCACCAGCACTTAAATGAGTGTACCCGAAATTTTGGACAATATTAGAGCACTGGGTGCCTTTACCACTGCCAGGGCCACCTGCTCGTGTAAAGTCCTAACTAATTAGATGATCGTCTTTCAACAATACAGCTATGTTATGCAATTCAAAAGATCTTGTGGAATATAAGTATGGAAGCGAGACAAGTTACCCAATACAAAAATGACGGTGACATTCTTTCCAGATTCCTGCAACATCAAGAACTCATTCATTATTACACTAAAAATGGAGACGAACACACACGTTTAATTCAATTTTCATATTATTATTACCATGTTTGTAGTGTCGGTAACAGATCCCATGTTTGCAGTATCGGTAACAGATCCCATGGTTTTGATAATTTACTGCACCAATACAAAACATTAGATTTCAGGCCTATCAGATCAATTTTTAAGAAAATAAAATTAAATCAATCAAACAAAATTCAACACAATTCTTCCTAGTAATGCCAGAAATTCAAACGATTTCGGCATTTGATTTCTACTAATTGGGATCCACAAACCAGCATAAAGTCATTTCCTTTTCAATCTCTCATTAAGAATTAAAATGAATGATCGTATCAGATCTCTAATATAGAGCAACTTGATTTTGAAATTTCCTAAAATAAAAAAAAATAAAAAAATAAAACAAATAAAATAAAATAAAAACAAACTAAATGCGATCGTTTTATAGATCTAACTTATACACAAGCAGAAACTCGCATTAACAAGGTCGGATTCCAAAGTAAAAGAACAACAATTTATTCAGAAACTGGCATTTAACAGTACCTAAAATTGGGTAAATAAAGTAGAATTGATGATAAATCGTAAGAGGAGGGAGAGAGAAGTAAAATGCAGGGGAGTTTACCAGGGAATTGAATTCAGGCCTGCCGGCGGCAATTGAATCCAAGGATCTGCTTATCTATTTTTTGTTATTTTTATTTTTTAAATCACGATATTGTTGATAGAAATGTAGAGAAATTTATTTATTTATATAAGGGCTTTAGAAAAAATAAAAAATTAAAAACATTGCTTATAATACCCGCTGATTTGTAACGTTCATAACTGTTTTTCTTTTTTTGTCAACCAACCTTTCCACTCCATACGCATTGGAATACTTGTATTAGTTTGATTTAAAAACATACTCCTTCGTATTTAAATAAATGAAATATTTTGACGAGTTTTAGAAACATTATTTAAATTTATTAAAATAATAGGTAGTTAGGTATAAAGTTTGGGGAGAGAGAAGAAAGAAAGGGGACGTTCATAACTATTTTTCTTTCTTCGTCAACCAGCCAAGTGTCCTGTAACTTTCTACTCCATATGCATCGGAATACTTGTAACAGTTTGATTTTAAAATATACTCCCTTCGTGTTTAAATAAATGAAACGTTTGACTTTCATGTAGTTTTAGGAAGATTATTTGAATTTATTAAAATAATAGGTTGTAGGTATAAGTTTGGGGAGAGAGAAGAAAGAAAGGGGTTTTATGGGGACCATTAGTTAGTAAAAAGTAGAAAAAATATTGTTAAAAAATGGAGAGAAATTACTAAAAACAAGGAAACGCTTCATTTATCTAAACACAACCGCAAAAGGAAAACATTTTATTTATTTAAACACGGAGGGAGTACCGTGAAAACCATTTTTTTGTTCCTGCATACAAAGTACCGTGAAAACCAAGGGCTTGTTTGACATTGTTTTTTTGTTTTTTTTTCTCCTTCAGTTTTTCGATTTTTTGAAAATAAAAAACAAAAAACAAGAAACAAGAAAAGGTTTTCAATTGTCAGTTTTCAAAATTATCATCACTTTAATAAGACAATATATCATATGATTTTGAAAAACAAAAGACCACAACAATACCAAACGAACCCTTACATAATAAGTTTTGATATTTATATATTACTCCGTCAAAAAAAAAAGGAGTCGGATAAAGTACTTATACACAAGTAGAAACTGACGTTAATAAGATTGCAATAAAACTGTTGTGGGTAATAAGTGTCTGTTATGTTCACCTTATTTTTACCTATTTTAGGTGTACTAAGTTCAATTAAGTTCTAGGTAAGTTCAGTTAAGAAAAAAATTCTGATAAGAATTATACTAATATAAATTACAAATTACAAATTACAACTAAAATAAGTTTTTGAACTACTTGGCGCTTGGGAAGAGGTTGGTATCTCCCTTTAAGTCTTTGAACTTCATCACCTAAATGCACATTGACATGCCGATTCTTGCCCAAGTCAACATCACCATCTCTGAGTTCTCCAAACAAGATATTCTCCACACTCTTAATCTCCTGAAGAATTTCCTTATTTTTTGGTTCTATTTCTCTTGCTTCCAGTAGATCAATATACGCCTTCTCCAAGCTTCTGGACTTTACAAGGGCCAAGCCCCTTCTAAATACGGCTTTCACATTTCTCTTATCAACCATCAAAACCACAGAACATGAGACAATGGCTTTGCTCAACTTATTTATTTTGATTTCACAAGCCGCAATGTTTAAATGCAAGGAGATGATTATGTCCCTATGATCAAGGTTGATATTTGTGGCTAGAACATCATCATAAATGGTAGAAAGAGTGACACAAAGACATTTGATGGCCTTGCTGTATGTATCAAAAGCATTGGACACTTCACCTTTTGAAGAGTGAATTCCCATCTAATTTCAAGGAACATAGAAAATAGCCTTCTCAGGGCTATCTGTTTTTCCGAATAATTCCTCGATATTAGTATCATCCTCGTCTAGGACATCTAAAAGGTGGACCAAGATGGTAGACAATCTAGGTTCATCCTCCATACCCTCCAAAAGAACCAGGTTAAAGAAAACTAATAAAAACTAGGAGTAGATAACAAGGCTACCACTTCAAAAGGCAAAGAAAGGCAAAAGACACAACAACCAACCTACTTAAATATAACACAGAGATCTAGCTTGAGAAAAGAAGAAAAAACAATTAACTAACCTTGCTGTTCGAGAAATTAGACGCTAAACACCATAAACTTTTTATAGCCGGAGGTTAAGATGAAAGGCAACAAACTAGACAAACTAGACACCGGGTGTAACGCCCCAATAATTCTTCCTTTTCCAATACACTTACACTAAACAAAATATAGGAGAACCATTGGCATGTTACCGCCACGTGTTAAAACATTAAGACTATATCAAAGTATCGCAGCGGAAAACCAAACTTAAGTCTTTAAAAAATAATATAGTTTAGAAAACCAATAAGTCAAAGCTTACAAACTGAAACTATAAAGGCCCTTATTTAAAACCAAACCAATATTCAAAACCCAAATCATAAATGAAATAACAAAATATAAATAAGTTCAACACAAAAAACGAATACTCTCAATCACACTAATCCCTTGACAATGCGTTTGTCAAATTCCCGAATTTCACATCATCAAGCTAACCTGTGCAATACTGCTCCCCAATAATACAAGTGTAATAATTGGATTATCACAGAGTCATTGAAAGGCAAAGGCCATGACCAAAAGAAAACACACAAAAGCACGCCATCAGCAAAACTGAGTACATACAAGCTACAACTCAACAAACCTAACATGCTCAACTAATTAAAGTAAATAAACATACATCACGAATTCATTAATCAAGACTCCTCACTTAAATAGTTCAATCAACTAAACATACTCACTAACCAATTCCAAACACTTAACTCTTTATATTTAATTTAATTAATTTAATTTGGAGTAAGCAATAGACGAGGTTGTCCAATCCACCAAATCATTATTTGTCCCAAATGACCATTTAAAATAAAAACATAGCGCGATGTAAGAATGGACGCGACTCCATTCTCACAAAGTTAGTCTAGGATCCCATCTAACTTTCATTATAAAATAAAAATGTAAATACCAGAAGAAAAGAGGACATGTTGATCAAACAAGCCTCGGAAAGCCACGGGCTACCACCGTGTACCCCCACCCCATAATTGTCAATACTCTAGAAGTGCAAGCTTTCAAGAGTTTTATTGCTCATCCATGTTTCATTTTACGTGATTATAAGTTTAATTAATAGCCGACTCATTCAAGTAAACCATACATAATAATCATACATATAATTCACTTTTAATCTTATTTAGGACAACGATGATCACATCACAAATTGACCTTTAATTTCATTAAATTTCCAAGATATCCAGAATTGTTGAACATAGTCAACCCACCTAGCCATTTCGGCTTAATTCACCTTTACTCAACATACTAACAAGTCATACTTGAGTAATAAATTAAATAATAATAACCTTATGGAATAATTAATATATTCATTCCACTTAAACCATTCAATTCTAATCCTTCAATATTCCAAATGTGGTTAATAAACTAATCCAATAAAAATATGCTTGTATCAACATTCCATACAAACAATTAATCCAATATAATTCAACATGCTTACATCCATAATTGTAATACCCCATATTTTTATACGTATTTTAATTTAAATAGTATTTCTTAAAGTATTTAAATAATTCAAAATGAATTATTTATGGTTTTTAATAATTTAAAAGGAATTATTTTAATTAAAAAGTTTATTTTTAATTATTTAATAATCTTGAAAATATTTTATTTTATGATTTGGAAATATTGGGGCATATTATTTTATAAAAATATAATTTTTAAAGTCAATGGTATTTAAGGAAAGTCAAAATACTAGTTTGACTAGGAAAGGGGTCATTAAAGGTAGTAAAGGAATTTTAAGTATGAGGTATATTGAGTTGGGGTATAAATACCCATCATATGCCTAAGGTGGAGTGCACCCAAAGGTAAATTCTCTCTCTCCTCTTATTTTCTTTTCCCCTTAATTTTTCCCCTTCCCCTTTATTTTAATTTTAATGTTTTTAATCACCACCACCCACACACACCACACACCGGCCGGCCACCACCCCACGCCACCACCGACTGGCAGCCACCACCACCAGCCTTCGCCGGCATCAGCAGCCACCAGGCGGCGTGGCAGCAGCCGGCCATGGTGGTTGTGTGCGCCGGTGGTGTTCAAAAAAAAATTATTATTATTGTTTTTGTTTTTAATTCAATCTAGCCTTAATCTAATTATTGTTTTTTGGTTTTGTGATGATTTTATGATGTTTGATAATAAGTATTTTATATATAAATTGTCAGATTTAATTTTGAATTAAAAAGCCCCAAATTGAATTCCTAGGTTTCTAAATTAGTGTTTATTGATGGAATTTGATTGTGGTTGATTAAAACTATTGAAATTAATGTTTTTAAACTAAATTACAGCAATTTTATAAGTTTTAATAATGCGAGAATTTTTATATACAAGCTATAATTAGGTTTCTTGAAAGGATTTTTAATTACCCATTAATTGGGAATAAAAGTAAGGGTTTTAAATCAAATTTCAACTTATTTTAGAGGGTTTATGAGTGATTTAAAGAGGGTATATATTGCTGAAAATTTGTGTGGAAGAAGTATTAATACTTCTTTGTAATTGTGGTTTGTAGGAGACTTTCAAGTGAATGATTTTATTTAGTCGTGGTGATTTTGAGATCATATATAAGGTACATTCGCGTACTTGGTAACTACTTGAATGTGTAGAAGCATGCTAGGTTTTGTTTAATTAATTCCAAGTAGTATCATGATAGGTGTTGGTTGGAATTTGTTGATTGGTTTGATGTTGGTGATCGATTTTGTGATGTATGAATTATTTATGGTGAATTGGTGATTGGAATTAATTATGTTGGCATGTTGGTTATGAACCACACTTTTATTATTGGCATGTTACTATGTTAGAGAGCATGTTTAATTAAACTAAATGTTTAATTTGGTTTGGAATATGAAAAGGGAATTTTATTATGGTTCATATAATTTTTATTGATGCTTTAAGCATGGAAATTGAGCTATTTAAGTGTCTTAGTACACAGGAATAAATTATATTGCGATGCTTATATGCACTTAAGGTGTTTCTAACACCGAGGGATAGGATTTGCGGCGCATTATGCATTTAAGGTGTCTTTGACACCGAGGTAAATTAAAAAGAATTCAACATTAAATTTATGTGGACACTAATTATTCAAGAATTAAATTGGTATGTTTGATTGCTTGAATGATTTACAATGTTTGATTGTTCTGTGGTTTGAGAGTCATCACCAAGTGTAATAATATGTAAACAACGTAAAGTGAAAGAGATTACACACCAAAACTCTTGGAACGTATATACCTTGAGTATGAATATATGGGGGGAGTTATGCGACTTTATATTTGACCATAACTTCTAATGGGAGTACAGGACGCTGTATTTTGCTTTTTTTTATTATTATGCACAGGATGTCCAGTCACTTCATGTGACATTTGCCAACCCGGTTAGCTCCCAGTGTAGTTTACCTCAATTTATTTGAGGCAGGGATTTGGTTGGAAACCCGTTCGATGTGTAATCAAAATTAAATGAACATTGGTATTGGTATAGTTAGGTGTTGGATGTTTTGTATGCTTGTATACAAGTGCTGCATGGTAAGTTGTGTGATGATAGAATGTAAGCATGTTAGTGTGTTTTGTTACACTTATGTACTCAACATTACTGATTGTGTGTTTGTATGTTTGTTTGGCCTTGTCTTTACCTTGGCCCTACGACGACCCATTTCTAAGTGGATTGCTAAACATCGCCCGTAAATCTCTACATAAAGCCCACAAATTTTAGGTGAATTGACATTTTTTCCCTTATATGTTTTAAAAAAAAAACTCTCACACACTCTCATCTTCTCTTTACTCTCATCACCTCTCTCTAAAAAAATTCAAACTACAATGTCGAGGCGCCAAGGCGCAAGGAATTGGCGGCAATGGAGGCGGAGGAAAGGCAGTCACACGGTGGCAAGGTATTAATTTTTTAAAAAAAAAAAATTAAGACGGCGGCGGTGCCCAAGCAGGACGCCACCACCAAGGATTTGGCTTCCCAGCCAGACGCCAGCCGGCGGCTGATCGGGACGCTAGGGCCACAGTAGTGGTGTCTTACGTGGGCGTCGCCGCTGTGGCCTTGGCGTCCTGCCCAGCCGCCGCCGCCGTGGGGCTGGCGTCTGGCTGGGACGCCGAGTACTTTTTTTTTTTTTGTTTATGTTTATATATTTTTTTTATGTGAATTTGTTAATACTTTTTTTGTTTATTTGATATTTTTTTTGGTTAGTTATTTCTAATTTTTGTTGTTTGTACTTAAAAAAATAGATTAATAATAATAATAATAATAACAATTGCTATTATTTTTCGTTATTTAAATGGAGTTAGGTATCACATTTTCGACCTGGTGCGAGGAAGAGTATGGACGTTATTAGAAGTAGAAACTACTCAATAGAGAGCTTGGGGCCCAGACACGTTAGATCCTGTGGTATTTCGGCCTCGGCTCGTAGAGAACGGGTTCACTATCCTGAGGAGGATGAAGATGATGATGGTGATGAGGAAGAGGAGGAGGAGGAGGACGCAAATGAGGATGTGGTGCTTGGGATGGACGATTAGAGTGGACCATATGATGATTACGGTCCATTCAGTCAGAGGATTGATGATATGTATGAGACGCATATGGTAGATGTGCGTAAGGGTAGAGATGGTAGATTTGTTAGTAGATCTGGCACATCATCTACGTCCACTGTGTCTGCGGTAAGCAGAAAACGGTCGAGGGCCGTTAATGATTCTTGGGTG